TTGGCTTGACCTTTCCTATACTCAAAACCAAGGTCTCTCAATGCAGCATGAGTATCACAACCTACTCTCTTCATAGTATGGTTGTGACACTGAACATTTGCTTTCCCGACGTGCATGCCCCTTTTCTTTTCTTTTTACCTTTTTTTTTTATAATATTTATTTATTTTTTATACAAATTCTATGATAATATATATATATATATATATATATATATATTTTAATCGTTATAGGCTCTCTAAATATTCAATCTGGGGTATTTATACCGTATTTACAAAAATGTCCTTTGAGAGTTTTGGTTATCCATAAAAATGACCTAATAAATCTGTACTTATAAGTCAATTCCAATTGTTTTCTCAAAAAACGTGAGGACATGCATCTCTTCCAACTGGAATATTGGGCTTTTAACTACGGATCTGAACAGCTTCGACTCTAAAGCCCAGTTATTGAGAATCCGAGATCATTATTTTATAGCCTTATAATTTTTTTTTAAAGCTTAAGAGTATTTTTTTACTTTTAAAATTTTATGAATATTTTCAGATAAAGTGAGTATTTTTTTTTTTTATTAATTTACCATAAAAAAATACAAAATCTTTATTTTCAAATTTTTATTTTTAAAATTGGATCAAAATTTCCTACTTATTTTTAAAAAATATAATTATGAAATAAAAACAGACTTTATTTTTGTACACCAGAGATTGATATTATATGTCCAAATTCAATTTGTCAAACAAATCCGACAGCTGTCATTTTATAAGCATTAACAACTTTTTATTTATTTATTTATTATTTCTGAAAATAAAAATAATTATGAATGTAATATTTTTGAAAATAGCAAAATCAACGCGGCAGTTGCATCCCTTTCGATCTTACAGCATCTTGTTCAATGTCCAAAGAACAATTCTCGTAGTCGGTTACGGCGGAGGCCTACCTGGCCCGCCACTTTACCAACACCACATGAGCGGATGAGCTGGCGTATTATTAAGGTGGGGTCCTTCAGAGACAACCAACAATATGTCGCCACGTCATCGAGTTCGGTCCACTTTATTAGGACTAGAAGAACTGGACTATTTTTATTTATGAAGAATAAAATTAACGGGTTCGGTTCGGTCTCCCTTTATTTTATTCATCATTACACCACAACTATTGCGAGGAATCATTCATCAACTTCATTATTAATTTAAGATTCGATTCCTTTTCAGATATAAGAATAATGCTTTTTAATTCTATTATTCTAAAAATAATTTTTTAAAAAATGTTTCATTAAATTCTAAATTTTATTTTATTTTATTCTAAAAATAATTCGAAAATACATTTGACTTAAAATAAACAAAGCTAAAATTTATTCATTTATTTTGTATTTATTTATATATTATTCCAAAACTAAATTTTCATTTAAGAATATGTTTAGTTTTGTGCCATTCCTTTAAAAAAAAAAATAATGGAATAAACCAAGAATAAACTATCCCCATTACATGAAGGTTTGAAGATTAAAAATTATATATAAATCAAGAAAAAATATGAAAATTTTATTTGTGTAAACTTTAAATTTTATTTGTAAATTTAAAAAATTAGAGACGAAATAAGGAAAAAATGAGGGACTGGTTTGCAATTAAACTTTATTTGATTTAAATTGTGGGTTTAATGATTGGTGTAGGGTATGCGTGGCGGGCAAGGAGTGGAACGGTGCAGTGCGAAAATCAGAACGGCCCATCTTATCAGCAACCAACACGAGTCATCTTATTGTTCACAGGAACAGGAAATGAAAAGTGGGTGAAGGGAATGTATGTCTTTCCATGGCTATAGACATGGTTCCAATGGGACCCATTTCTGAGCACCAGGCCACCCATTTTACAAACAAACCCATCCAGGTGTGAGTTTTTGGATTATGGGTTTTGCCGTCACCAGTCTAGGATGGTGACCTATCCACACATAAATCTTTTAACCACACAAATCTTTTAACAACATGACTTGTCTGCAAAATCATGTGTTTTTATAATGTCTCAACCTTCCTCTCCTTCTATTTCTCATCCATTTACTTTGGATCCTATCGAGATTGAGATGCTTTGTTTTTAAGTTACGGATTCAAATAAGAAATTGATTCCGGATGTCAATCGTTTCTATCCTAGTTCTAAACCCTAAAGAAAAAAAAAAAAAAAATCGTATGGTTGTCCTAGTCCCGAAAGCTTATTGGTTCCTTGGTCATGTGATTAGATCTAGTCGATTGGATTTGAAACGGAGGTCTTGAATTCGAGTGATTCAATCCCCTTTGATCCGCTTGAGTTTTTATCATTTATCTTATTTAATGAGTTGAACAACAGTTGGGTTTCCAACTGCCCAAGGAGTTGAAGAAGTCCTCGTTCTCTTCTGCCCACATATGGACCCATTCTTAAGCACGACTGCCACCTAGATCATCCACTGTCATAGTGAAAGTATATAAATGAAGGCCTTGCTCGAACCAATGGTTAGTAAACTTAGAGTCAAAAATTTCGATTGTCGTAAATATTGAATTCATAATTCATTTGACACTTTTTATGAAAGTCAACTAAGTACGGTAAATAAATTAATCAAAGTATCCAAATGTAAAAAATTGTTGGTGAATTTTGATGTATCGTCCAAGGAATATAATTGCCCCTCCTTTTATTGAATTTTGACTAACGGTCCTCTTTTGACGCGTGATCAACTAAATCATGGTCTCGTCTCCAACTGACGTGGTCCAAAACAGTTTGAGTTAATGTTATACAACTAAATAACAATAATATTACATATTTGTGATCAAATTTCCGACCGTTTGAAATTTTAGATATATTTATTTAATCTCTGATTTTAATTTCTTTCTTTTTTTTATCTATCATTCAGTAGTTTTATTTTTAAAAAAATTAAATTATAACCTAAATTTTCAAATTTGTATCTATTCAAATTTTAAAAATTTTAAGTATCTAATATTTATTAGATAAAAAAATTAAATGACTTATTAAATATAAATTTAATTTTGTAATAATTTATTAATTAATTTAAAAAAGTCAAAAGCTAAACAATGAAGACTGTAAATTTAAATAGTTAAACTATTATATCATCCATAAAAAAAAATAATAATAAAAGTGATAAGGTCGAAGTCATGGTAGTTTAACGAACCAATCAATCAACACCACTATTCATAGTAGCGAGAGTTTAGGTACATCTACCTCACGCTATGTTTCTCCACAAATAATGTGGGCCGTCCAGATTCGGCACTGACACGTGTGATTCATACGTCGTTTTTAAATTCACAACAAAACGACAACCCACTGTCGCAAACCAACCCCTATTCTTGAACCCAGATTCGGCATAGATCGTTGCATCCTCCACACCACCTCGTCAGCTTTCCTACACATCGTCTGCCTTTGTGGGCCCATGCCACGTGTTAAAGAAATCTTTTATGCTCCCCACCTTTCAACCACGCATCTTTTCCCCAAATTCATGTGGTAACAATACTCACATCTCATATGTATATACAATATTTCCAAACATACTGTTTTGTTTTACTTTTTATTTAATCCTTTTATATTAAATTTAGATCAGAATTATACAAATTTTCAATAATTTAATTATAATAAAGTAAGTATTATTATATTTCGATTGGCTATGAAAATATTCGTCTGTCCACATTTTTTCAAAGAATCCTACACTCACAAGCATATTGCTTGACAAGCCTTTTCTTTCCGTCGAAGAAGGATCTGTTGGATGAAAGTCCCACGTCAGTTAATTTAAGGAATGATCGTGTAACAGCCTAAATCCGAGATATTGTCTTTTTTGGGGTTTCCTTTTTTGGCTTCCCCTCAAAGCTTTAAAACGCGTGTGCTAGGGGAAGGTTTCCACACTCTTATAAATGGTGGTTTGTTCTCCTCCCCAACCAATGTGAGACATCACAATCCACCTCTCTTTGGGGCCTAACGTCCTCGTTGGCACTCTTTTCTTCCTCCAATCGATGTGGGACCGCCCCCAAATCCACCCCCTTTGGGGACCAACGTCCTTACTGGCACACCGCCTCGTGTCTATCCTCCTTTGGGGAACAGCAAGAAGGCTGACACATCATCTGGTGTCTAGCTCTGATACCATTTGTAACGCCCTAGATCCACCGCTAGCAAATATTGTCCTTTTTGGGCTTTCCCTTTCGGGCTTCCCCTCAAGGCTTTAAAAAGCGTATGCTAGGGGAAGGTTTCCACACATTTATAAAATGATGGTTTGTCTCACATTAGTTGGGGAGGAGAACAAACCATCGTGGAGAGTTCATGTTTAAAATAACAATATCGTACCATTGTAGAGAGTCGTGTTCATCTAAGATGTTATCAGAGCATCATTCTTAACAGGGTCAATGTGGTTACTAGCATCGAAGAAACCCGTCATAAACGAGAGAGTGAAAGTTCAAAGTTGGCGAACGAGCTCTTATCGCGAGAGAAGAAAGCAAGGAGCTTATTAGGACGACACACCGTTTACTCAAATTAATTAAAAGTTTATAATTTAAGGGAAAAAGTGAAAGGAGGGAAAGAAAGTGTTTGAAAATTGTTATATAGAAAGAGGTGAGGACGGCAGTAAGGCGGGGACCCAGGCGGCATCCCAGCGAGCAGCCCACCAGGAAACTGGCGATGAATCCCATGCCTTCCTCAAATGACTTGAATACGACCCTTACTGGCCCATGATCTCCTTCCACTGGATCATATCCGCGCTTCAAATAATATCCTTTCCGCCGTTTCAAACCGAATTTTCACTTTTCGTTTAATTTCTATTAAAAAATTAGATTATAACGTAAGCAGCCATACTTCAAAAAATGCTATTAAATGTTAAATTAATGAAAATACTTTTTGAATTTTGTATTTTGTTTTGAAAATACCCTAAAATTTATTATTATTATTATTTTTTAATAATAGCCCAAATAAAATGAACGGAAGATATTCGGCCCATAGCTTTTTAGTTAATTACACTTTTACCATCACTGGCGGGAGTAATTATTTCTATAAATAGTGGGTAAGGCGTACCAAGACCAGGCTTGGAGAAGCAACTCCAAACCTTCTTCTCAGGTCTCTTTTCTCTACATTCCTAGTCTCTCCTTTTCAATCTAGATAGGACCAATAACTTCGGGTTCAAATCCAAGAGGCGAAGTAGAAAATGGTCGGAGCCTCACACAGTCCCGGCGGCGTCGCCGCCAGATCTGACAGAACTGCGACCATCAAGTTTCTCTGCAGTTATGGAGGCAGGATCCTTCCTCGTTATCCTGATGGCAAACTCCGTTATCTTGGTGGTGTAACTCGTGTCCTCGCCGTCGATCGTTCCATTCCTTTTTCTGGTTAGTATTAATCTCTTTTCATAATTTATATTTCATTATCCGTGCATTTATTTCGCGAATGTTTCGATTGAATGTTGTAATTTATTAGGTTGAGGTTGAATGATTGATTTAAGCCTTGGTATGAACTTCTAGAGTGAGATTTATAATTGTGTCTGGTTACAGAACTGTTGTTGAAGCTGGAAAAGTTGTGTGGAACATGTGTGAGTCTTCGTTGTCAATTGCCTTCAGAGGATTTGGATGCTTTGGTATCGATAACCTCCGATGAGGACCTAGCGAATCTCATCGAGGAATACGATAGAGCAGCCTCGCCGTCTTCTTTGAAGATCAGAGCGTTCCTTTCACCGCCTAAATCCGTGAAAGAATTTCCTCTCCCTTGTTCGTCGTCCTCTTCATCACCGTCGTCCTCAAAACCTTCTTCTCCGACAACTGCTATATCCTCTCCAAGGGCCTCAACCCAGGTTCCTGACTATTGTATCCATCAGATCCCAACGCCAGTGAGGTTTTCGTACCGCCTGAAGAAGTCACCGGCGAAGGTTCCTCTCTTCTCATATCATCCTCAAGGGAATCCTAGCCACATCTACCTCATCCACAATGGCAATCACTGGCAATAGCATCAACTAGGATGAGGGAAATCAAAGTAAACATACATATAAGATATAACGAAATAGAAAAAGGAAATTCCAAGCACAAAAAAGGATGTATGATGTAAGGAGAATGTACATGTCGCTAAGGATTTCCTTTTGATCCATTAGCCATTAATGAAATTCGGTCCTATTTCATTTTGCAGCCGTAGCTATTGTGATGGTGAGTTTCTTCGTCAAAGAAACGGAATCCGTTCCCGACTTTGAATTACAGCTTCCATTACCATTAGGTCCGTTAATCGCACGCTTGTCCTCTCTCCCAGTAAGAGTTTAGCAAATGTCCACCGTTTTCTCTAGGTCCTATTAACATTCCACGCACGGAGCGTCCATAGTTCAGGTCTGATTGTTGCTTGTGCTTGTGCACAATACGTATTTTTACTCTGGCACAACTGGCTTTATTATCTGATCTTGTTTCTTTCGTTCTCTTTTGAAAACTCAGTTTTAATAAGTTCTATTGTTCATTTTTCAAAATACTATGACTGTTGTCCGGTGGATTACAATTTCCGTAGTCTTTGATAAAACGATGAACTATGTAGTTTTTCATTGGATGTCAATCTTACCAATCTGATTTTGCAGGATCTAAGAGACCATCGCATTGGATCAAACAAAATTTGAAGACACAAGGAGCTACGGCTGCGATTCTGCCATTGGATGTAAGATCTCTGTCCCATCTAATCTATTAGTCAAATTTGTATATGTTTGTGCTGTGTGTTCGTAAGTGTTGCTTCCTCTTAGGCCTTCCAACATGGTTCTGCCCTTTCAATTGTTGATTCTACCAATCCACTTACTGATCAGTTACTGCAGGCCTTCAAAAGTGTTGTATTAATTTAATAAGTGGTGTCGGCTTTGTTTTTAAGTGTTCATAACTGTTGCATAATTTTATCATATGTGTGTGTCCTGTTCATTAGCCTTCAATTCCTTTTAGGCCTTCTAGCATAGTTCAAACCCTTCAATCGTCGTGTCTTTCATTCCTCTTACTCCGTTGCTGTAGACTCTCTCTCTCCTCGCACACACTTTCATACACGTATATTTTACCTTTTTGGCTTTCTGGATGAAAAGTTCACAAGTCGTATTCGTGGTTGCGAAAGATCACATAAATTCTATATTAAAAATGTGTTATGAGAAAATGATGATAGATTTATATGCATTGGATCCTTTATATATGTTAGGTACATGCGAAGAAAATCTGCCATTCTCGGAACCAGAGGTCTACGAGGTCTGTTTGCTCTGTTTTCTGTACCGAGAGTTTCATTCGCAATCACAGGTATTCCTTTCTTCTTTCCCATTCATTTTGAATAAAGTAACACAAGATAATACTCTGGAAAATTTTGGGTAGAAATAAAATTAAAAAAGTAAAGACCTACAAATAGGGAATTGTGGGGGAAAGACAGCAGTAATATGGTAGTATTAGGAGCAAGTTGCAGGCTTCTATGGCGTGGCCTTGACAATGAGGTTTGGTTTGTTTCTGTGTTTGGAGATTGGAGGAAAAGTCCATGAGTGGACAACAGGGACAATGGCTGAAAATGCACTGGGGACCATATTGAGATCAGTTTGACAAAAAAAAAAAAAAAAAAAAAAAAAAAAAAAAAAATTTA